TGAAATCTTCTTTCTAGGATATGAAATCTTCTCTCTAGGACATGAAATCTTCTCTCTACGATATGAAATCTTCTCTCTAGGACATGAAATCTTCTCTCTAGGACATGAAATCTTCTCTCTAGGATATGAAATATTCTCTCTATAATATGACATTTTCTCTCTGAAAAATGATATTTTCCCACTTGCGGTATCGTCCATGCACCATTTACACTAAAGAAAGACTTCCCTGAAAACAAACAGACTCCACAATATGAATACAACTAAATACCAAACACACAGCAACTAGTAAAACAGGAAAAACAACAGTGCAGTACAGATGGCAGAATTGATTATGGGATGGGCTAGGTTCAGGAACAATTAAAATGATTAAGATTTTTAGATTATTTGAGTCAGTTTTTTGGACCTCTCGTAAAAACAAAATAGAGAACATATACTGTATAAGAGAGTTTATATTTACTTGCCGGGTTTTGGGAAGTAAATATAAACCAGGATGGAATACATCACACTAATCAGGGCATGTCATCGCCAATGGGGTTAAACCCAAACCCTAGCTGACATCTTGTTTGCTAAAGTACAGTGTGCCAGAAACAATTTCCAGTTTTGTTTTGTTTTTAGATAAAATACTGATCTGTTTAAAAACGTTTTAAATTTTTGTTTTCATTCTAGTATATATTTCAGTACTGCAGACCTCATGCAGCCTCTTTTAGCCACTTCCTGTCTACATGCACTCATTCCATCATTGGCTGCACATCATTGCTCTAGACAAGCTTCCTGATCAACAGTGGTCCATGTCTTCACAATGTGCGTGGCACAGTCACTTGTCATGTTACAGGGTGACAACACAGAAGCACAAACGAGAGACAGTTGACACCGCACAACAGAAAGTGTCTGAAGAAGGATTATTTTTTTTTAATGAAAGATGCAGCTTAACCACTATAGGACCGTCACACGTATATACATCCTGGAACTAAAGTGGCTGATCCTGGTGTCGTTTTTTCCCGGCTTTCACATACAAGTGACCAAGGTGGCTGTCAAGCTGCCAGATCACTTTTATGGTCCTGAAAATGTGCCCCCTCCCTGCTGTGTTTTCTGTGCTCTGCTGTCCCTGTTGTGGGCCCAGGAATGGCATGGTTGACCCATTGGAGATTAGCACATATCCACTGTCTGTTTACCCTTTTGGTTACTGAACTAGGAAGCGACGAGGATTTATTCACTTCCAATTTCAAACTGTCATGTCTCCGGCTGCTGTGCCGGAAACATGACACTTATATGAGATTTCACGCTGCATTCCTTTATTTTATGTTGGTCTTTTTGATGTGTAAATGTCCCCTCAGTTCTGAATGCACACCGCACCATGAATTTTTCTGGACCTATTTTGCCAGTATGTATGGTAGTGACCACACTAGGCCTGAGCCAAAAAAAAAGGATAACTCAACTAAAATATATCTAACACAGCACCAAACGTTCAATACTGGGCGGAATCCTGAAGCAACAATGGAGCTCTACAGTGTTGTCAAATAATACCTTTAATTCTGGCCTCATAACTTATACAGGTTCAGTAGATTATGTAAGTATCCCGCCTAGATTTTTTAAGTCTAACATATGTATAATTCCTGTATGTAAGTGGTGGCTGAAAAGGTGCAGATGGAATATACTCTGTGCTGTACTAAGTAGCAGACCACTGCTCTCTGTAAACTGGGAACACATCGTTCAGGAGTACGGAATATATAACATAAAATATAATGTGCAGAGGTCAGGAAAATGTAAAAGTCTGAAATGTAAATGTTGACAGCTATGTAACATACACTGTAGATATGTTGCATGCCTCTGACTGCCATATGCTGTAGACTGTGCTGCATGTTACATACTAATTGCTGCAGCACTCCATACATTACAAACCCTAATCCCTGTAGTCTATACACTGAGATTTACAATACATACTCCTGACCCCTACACACTGTATGCTGGACTGTGTGTTACTTACTTCTAATCACTGTTCTTTGTGTGTTACGTACTCCTGAGCCGTGTGCCTTACATACTTCTGACCTTTGCATCCTGTGATTTATGTTTCCCTGGTCCCTGTTTTCTCTGTGTTAAATACTCCAGACACCGGAACTCTGTGTGTTATACACTCCAGACACCTGCACGCTCTGTGATTCATTATTGAAAAAAAAAGTTTGACAAGTTAATACTACTTTAAAGCACATTTTGTGAGACAACATAGACTGTAGTATAGGTGTGCCATATATACAGTGAGCAGTGCAATTAGGCCACTCCACCTTTCGTTGCAGCTCTCCTCAGGGTGCCCCAGGTCTCTCACAATCCTAGCAATGCCCCTTTTCCTGCTCTATGGTGTCACAGGGTGTCCCCAGGGCAGCATGTGAGGAGAAATCTTAGCAACAGGAATGCATTACCACCCCTCCCCATCAAAAAATGTCAGCGCCCTGACAGTTACCAGGGTAGTGCATTTGTGTAGTCCTAGGAGGCAATGTCGGTACCCCGGCGGTTACTGGGCCTGGGCCCTCTTCTTCCTTTGTGGGCCCCCACACAAGTGGCAGGACACTAGGGCCCGGTCCAGCACTGTGTCAAGCCTTACTAGTATAAAACATTCACAAATCACACAAAGCAGCAGACAGACTTTTCTGAAACACTGCTGAAAGTCTAACAAAAAGAACGGGGTTCAGCTCAATAGTCCAAACTGCTATAAAAGACCTTCTAAAGCATATTTTCTCACTGGCTGAGCGGTCTCTCTGTACACATATGGGTGATATAAATAGACATGACACAGAAAAGTTGGAAGTAGGTCAGTTTAAGGTGTTTATATCTCATTGCTCTGCTTTAGCTCCAGACAAGATTTATGCTATGATACAAAACAAAAACATATGTACAGTATATACATTTACAAATATATAAAAGTCAAATAAGATGAAATGATAAACAAACAACTAAAACATATACATAAGGAAATCACTGTGGAATAAGTTGCTGGTATACTAAAGCATAAGTAAAGTGGGGTATGCGAGAACCCCCCCC